TAAAGTACTGGAGTCTCAGCTTCAGGATCTGTCCTTCCAGTGAGCACTCAGGGTTGGTTTCCCTCAGCCCCAACATGGGGCTGATCAGAGCTAGGGTTCAAGAATGGCAATAAGGTCACAGGTTGTCAAGCCACATGATGAAATGAATGAACATGTACTACCTATTTATGTATGCAAAAGCTGATGGCTAGTAGAACAGATAGGCGTTGTACTTGTTACCATTCTCTTACACTGTGAAAAGAGAATTTAACCTGACGGGCTAAAGTCTCAATGGCTTAAAAGAATGACAAGACTGAGGACGTTTTTCAGAAGCTAATCAGATCTTCTTTTGCTTATAGACAATGGGATCAGGTTTGGTTCTTTTGTCTTGAATGGCTTCCCATCAATCTTGAAGCAAGAAACTGCTTTATTTTTAATATCCAGTGGTTACCCAGACAGACTGTACTGCTTGCCTAAAATCTGCTTGCACAAAGGCATTCAGCCTTCATGTGTCCCTAGCAAAAAGGTAGAGTATTAATTTGAGGGTAGTAGGTTTGTACAGGTAAGAAAAGGTATGTGTACAAGGCACTCTGAGCTCTCCTCACATTATATTTTGCCCAGAAATGAGTGTCAGGCTGCCCAGTTTTAGAACTGGAGGCTAGGCTTTGCCCCTTGTTCAGTACACTTATTGTATGTGTCTGTTATATTTGCAATCCACATTTCCTCCAAAGAGCTTAAGACAATCTTTCTTCACAACAACCCTGAAAAGTAATTTAAGCTGAAATATAGTGACTGGCCTGAAGTCAGTGAGAGGGCAATCAGATGGAAATATAGCTCGTTATTTCATTCCCTTTTGGTGCAGTTTGAATCACCCTGTTTTCAGCAACCACATGTATTTTCAGCAAAAGCAGTCCATCCTGCCCCCTTTACAAGCTCTCCCAGTCCTTCTGGCACAGTGCTAGGGCTGCAGTTTATTCAGTGCAATTGGGAGTGTTCCTGATTATCCCATTCTATAGCTTCTAGGTGGTTAATTCACTCCCAAATATAGAGATGTGGGTGGCATTATTTGAGGTGACAACACTGTGATATATTCAGTGGGTTGCAACATCAAAAGTGAGGATTGAGAAATCCCCTCTTCTATTTTTGTTCTTTTTAACATTTCACCAACTGATGCAGCACAATTCAAAGCCACTGGAGGTATTTTTCATTACAATATATATTATACATATTTCATTCTAGATTGATGCATTCCTGTAGCGCTATGTCACTTACTGATATAAAAAAGGGGAAGAGGCACTGTGGCCTGCGGATTGCTGACTTCAAAAAAAGACAAGGGGTGGAGATGGGGGCCTAAATAATCAAAAGGGGGCACATTGGAGTGATCTGAAAAAATGTCTGGATCCTTCTCTTGGGGGAAGAAAGGTCTCCAGTGTGGATGGAAGGATTGCTCAAGTGTGAGATATAATAAGAGTGCATCAAAGATAAGAGCTTTTAGAGTCTGAAGCAGATTGCCCCAACTTTCCCCATCTAGTCCAAAGTTTCATATCCAAGTGGAGATTTGAAACAAAGTCTCTGAGTACCAGACAACTCTGGCTGCCATCCATTTGCTCATATTGGCGATATGAGGGAGGTGCACTCTAGCGATATCACCTCATCCAGCAATTTGGATAGTACTGCTTATGCTAGCTTTTGGAACTGAAGAAATCCCCTTGAAACCAGTGGGGCTTATTTCTGAAAAGACCCAAGCAAGATTGCAGAAGGAAAACACCTATAATTTCTCCACCAAGCAGCCCAACCTGCAGGTCAAATTAAGGTGGTACAATATTTCTGACATTTATGGCACACAGTCTTGTATACCCTGCACTGCCCCATCTCTCTTGGCCTGCCTACACGGTAGGTCTGAGAAATCTGTACAAGTCCAGCCACAAAATGAGGAGTTGTGGTTACGTGTCCAGTTTAGGACACATCTGGATAGGAGCACAACCCCTAGGATACCCACTCGGAGACGAGGATTCTGAGCGTTGTGGTGCAAAATAATTAACATTTCCACGGTTTGGGTGAAGAAGGGGAAGGCAAAAGTCTTTTTTTCAGGGAGACGAAGAACAACTCTAAATCCAGCTCCTTCCCTATGTCAGCGCCACTGTATTGAATTTGAGGGCGACAAAGAGAGGCGCCTCTTGTGAGGCAGATGTTTCTGGCCGTGGTTTTCCAGGGACGGTGACAGCGCTGAGTCCAGATTAGGGCGCCCAAAATCTCGCCCTTTAATGGATGAGCAAAGTCTCCCGCCTGTAGGGGAATACGTCCCACCACCACCGCTACCCCCAAGGCGGGGCCGGCGCGCACCAGCTGACCGGATTTCACCGGGCAGCGCAGCCTACTGATGTCATTCCCGGTTCCGGGGATTACTCGTCTGCTCGGCCTGCGCTGCTGGGCCGGGGCGGGGAGAGGCCTGGGACGCCGCCCTGCGATTAAAAGGGGGGGGGGAAGGCGGGGAAAACCGGCGTGGGTTTCCCGCACCTTCATTCTGCAGGGCTGAGTAATAAACGGGCGCTGCTCTCGCCCGCCAGGTGGCTTCCGAGGGTGGCTTCCTACAAACATGACATGAAGCAGTCATAGGGATCGTGTGACTTGGAGAGCTCCGGCGTCGTGAGGATGACGGCGCCGATCTGAGCCTTAGCGGCTTCGTGCTGCTGCCCCCAAGTACTTGATCATGACGGATGCGATTTTTTTTTTGAAAAAGGCGCAAGCCTGGGGTTGTGACAGGATGTTGGTGGAGGAGGCGGGGAGGAGTCACGGCTTTTCCTGAAAATGCCTTCCTTGCGCCAGGCAGAAATGCCAGGTGTGGGGAAAATGCTGTGCAATCGGTGGACGGGGATGGGATGTTTCTGCACAGAAACATCACGTGAATCAAATTAAAAAAAGAGAGGCTTTACTCCTACTTTTTTTTTTTTTGGACAACCTCATTCGAAGTCCAGAAAACAAGGGAGCTTTCGGGATTGACCGCGGTTGATCTCTCTGGACGCTTGTCTCGGTGGGGACTGGTCGTGAATGGAAAGCATTCCTGAAAAAAAAATCCTGGAATTTAATTTTTGAGGGGCCGCTGCTCACTGCCAGCAGAAGGCTTTGCTTTGCACGCGGAACCGCTCCCGCTCAATTAGGGGTAAAGGTTCCCCTTGGCATTTAGTCCAGTCGCGTCCGACTCTAGGGCACGGTGTTCATCCCCATCTCCAAACCATACAGCCAGCGTTTGTCCTCAGACAATCTTCTATGGTGCGGTATATAAGCCGCACATTTTGCTTTGCTTTTTTCCGTGGTCACGTGGCCAGCGCGACTAGACACCGAACGCCAGGCCTTTACCTTCCCACCGAGGTGGTACCTATTTATCTGCTGGCATTTAACATGCTTTCGAACTAGGTTGGCAGGAGCCGGGACAAGAGAGGGGAGCTCACTCCCTGGCTTGGATTCGATCTTACACAGAGACTTCTGCGGCTTAAGCCGCAGCACCACCACGTACCCCAATTAGGGGTATCCCCGGTTAAATTCCAGGCGGCTCCCTGAAGTCCCTCGCCCCTTCTGACTAGTGTAACGAAGATCCATAAACTCCGCTCTCTAAATGGCAACAAATTTTCTTTCAGAAAGTTACACATCCCTTCCCCCGCCTTCGCTCCGCAGGATGCACACTTGCCCTGGCTGGATGTATTTAACAAATTAAAACCCAACAAAGGCAAACACGAGGGGACCAAATCCAAGGCAACCCCATCTGCCTGCAGGGCTTCCTCTTGGGTTCATCAGGATCCTTTTGTAATTTAAGGAACCAATTCTCCACCGATTCTTTGT